ACAAAACCTTTTTGTCGCCTGTTCAGTTTCGTCTCTGTATATAGTTGTAGGTTAAATTGGGCATTTAGGATGTCAAATCCTATTTGGGAATGGATTGATTCGTTTTTCTTTTCTTCTTTATTTTTTGTTCCTCTTATTCTAATTGAATAATTGCGTGTTTTATGCCTAAGAATTGATACGGCTTTGTTGAATTTGGCTTTTAAGAATGCGCGTGTTAAACACTGAAAAAGGATATCTGTAAGTCCTTACATTGTCGACCAGTAAATCAGTCGCCAAAATCACTACGTCCATTTCGTGTGGTTTCTTTTCGCTTGCCGTTACCGTTTCCAATCAAGACGGTTTCGTTTGCACTCCTTCGCATTGGACTTGAACTTCCTGAAAGAGTTGGCCAGCTGAATGGAGTTTGGAAGTAAAGCCAGGTAAGGTGAAAAAATATCCTTTTCAGTTTCGATATCTTTCAATTTCAATTTGAAATCTTTCATCGATTATCATTCTTCATCATCATTCACGTCTTCTTGCCAAGTATAACAATGATATATTTATTTCGATAAATACCCCTTTCGTCTTGCTTGAAGAATACAGGATACAAGATAATCAGTTATTAATGGTATCAGCAGAAGAGTTTAAACGAACGAAAAGAAAGACTTCGTATTGTTCGTACAGCAACTGCCATTGTTGTTGAAGATATTCGGGGCCAAATATATGACAACTCTCAATACCCCTCACCAGGTAATTTTCTAGATGGGGCGGCGGACCTAATTCCTGAAACTCTTCGAGTGTTAACAGATACTGTCGCGCTAAATAAAAAACATGATGATACTAAACAGTGGAAAAACAAATCGACCGTTATTGCACATAGCTTGATTAGTGTGGTGAGGCCATCACCCTTACAAGTTGGTCTCGCGGCATTTATATATAAAAAAATATGGCTCGCGCAGGTTGACTGATCTGCTATCATCTTGGGCTTCTGTTCGTCGTACACAAAAGTCACACGTCTTATGATATCAAGAACTTAACCAGAATGCCTTCTCTCAAATGGTGTACGACAATGCCGATTTTAATGTGCTGACGCATAATATGTATAACACAAAAATCTGCACTGTTCTGACAAAGCACGATTATTGTAAGGCCCCTATTACCTCATTCGGTGTGGCTGTACTGAAAGCATACGGAGTTTCCAGGCGTTGGGGGATGGAACGGTTTTATGAAATAAGTAACGAGATACATGCCATATGAAACCACGCGCATAACCAACCAACCATTTATCAACGGTCCTCCTAGCCATTATGATACGATCTATACAGATTTGTTGAGTGCTGCATAGAAGAACAAGTCTTTAGGTCAGACAACTACCTTCATTACATTCGATCAACCATTGTATCTTAAAGCCCGAGAGATAATTGCATGTCGTGTGGGAGATGCTGAAGTGAACAACGTTATAGTACGACTTGGAGGCTTCCATTTGCTAATACCCTTCATAGGGGCTGTGGGGTTTATAATAAATGAGAGTGGTATTACATAATTGTTTAACACAGTAAACAGCACTGAAAAAATTATGACGGGACATGCCTATGCAAAGGCCGTCAGAGCCCACATTATGGCTCACACAGTTTTAGGTAAACTGATCATAGTGTCAATCACCTTTTCCTCTCAATGCAGAGTGACATAGATAATTTACGGTGGAGACCTTTCAGAACTTCTCACAGTAAGCGAACGATAATGCACCAGAAGAACAACATAAGTTATTTAATATAACACCTTCATATATAAGTATTGGTGACAAGAGAATAGTCAGAGCTTCCAAAGCTATAAACGATAACGATTTAATCACGAAAGGTCAGGTGATCAAAATGATTAACGAGAAGCATCCAGCAGCAGCAGTGGTAAATACAAAAGGAAAAGGGAAGGGAAACTAAAGATGAAGACTAGAACGGAAATCAACTCGAATCACACTACTTGTATTTATTCAGTTAATGCGTATAGGAAAGAGTCAATGTACTTTATGGTTTAATAAATAAATTTTATGGGGGCACCTGAGCCTGGGAACTTTTTTATACCGTGGGAAAATTTCTAGATCGGCGGCGCCTTTGATCTGAAGTTTCGGGGGTTTGGCCCGGGTGAACCCCAAATTTTCCCGGAATTTGACCGCAGCTCCTTATCTCATGGTGTCATCTTCAAACAGCAGTTATCGTCCATCATCGGGGCATCGTCGTCTCGTCATCGATCGTATAAAAAGTCTAGCCTCAAATAATTTATCCTATAGGAAAGAGTCAATGTACTTTATGGTTTATTAAATATTTTTTTTCGAGAAAAAGCATGTTTTTTTTTTATAATTGCCAAAAATATGTATGACGGCATCCTTTACAAGCCTCTTATGCTAGATTTCACATTAAACACTTGACAGCTGGTATTTGACATGTGACAGCTGTCAAAAATGATGGGTGACAGATGACGTAACAGGTGTTGATACCCCGCGACTTGTTACCCCGTATGAGATGACAGGTACCTCGTGACTTGTTACCCCGTACAAGATGACAGCTGCCAAAAATGACAGGTGACGAGTGACAATTAATGTATTTCAAAATACGGACCGCGCCCTGAAATATAGCATAGCACACGTGACCATCATTTGGGTTAGTTCAGAGATTTTCTACTGATGACGTATTGGTGTCGATCATTTGGGTTAGTTTGGGTTAGTTCAGAGATTTTTCACTGATGACGATCATTTAGGTTAGTATGGGTTAGTTCGGAGATTTTCTACTGATGACGCATTGGCGTCGCGACGCCATAGTCGACGCATGCGCAGAAGTCACGGAGGCGTCGGAGGATGCAGAACGAACCATGTATCTCTACTAAACTGAGGTGCAGCGATTGGCATAGCTTGGACTCACAGCCAAATTATGGTTGCAATATGGAAATGGTGACATTAATGATGAGATTTATCCAATCTGGAAGAATGGGTAACTAGGACCTCCACCTATAAACCATAAACAGCATGAGCCCATATTTCCATGCAAGTGGGCATTACTCAAATGCTAAGTGCGCCCACTTGTACCTCCCGAATATGGGGGATTTGGAAGGCATAATGCCACCAGGATAGTTTGCAGCTTTCACAGCGCAAAAAGGCTTCACGATTCGACGAACTGACAAGTTATGGGGTGGCACATGGAGTGACATGTCCAGTGAAGAGTTTTTGATGAGGCAAATGAAATCAGATGGGGGAATGACACGTCAGTGATGCTATTTTGTCAAGATGGACACTAGAAATGGCCGCTCAACAAGAAGTTTGCGAAGCTTTGGAAATTTTCTGTGGTATTACTTTCGCAACATCGGAGCAGTATGTTGATAGCAGAGATTTCCGAATTAAACGAGACAATTAAGATATGAAAATAATGTTGGAGTGGTTGCGCCAACATCCACCCTTTTCAGACATACCAGGTCTGATGTCGATAAGTAATGGGTTGGTTGGAAACGAAAACACCAACTGCCATTTGTCCAGGGAAGTTGGGGTTGCAGGAATGAAGGTAATTGTCGGAAGTAATTTTGGGAACATCAAATTCAAAAAGGCTTACAGAATCCTGTCCCTTGCCTCAATTAACAGTGCACTAATTATCGGAAATTAACCTGTTCCCATCAACCCAACCACACTGTTCTAGAGAATTACTATCGCAAAACAGTTAGATGAAGAATTGGAGTAGTATTTGTCCTACGAACTCTGTCCATACCCATTGGCATTGTTTGATGACTGTGGTTTGAGAAAGGGTATCAAATCAACTTTATACAAAGCTTTACAAATTATGCCAGACATGCGAACTCTCCCCAGCGACACAGTATTTGTTATTGAGTGAGGTTTTTTGCTACATAGAGTTGTTTGGACAAGCGGAAACTCATTAGCCCAGATCTGCAACAGGTATATTGAATACGTCTGCCCAAAATTCAAATCAACTGGTGCTGTTGTTTTTCACGGATACAGTGAGGAATATCAAAGCACCAAATACATTGAGCGAGTGAGAGATAACTGTATGGCGCCCACTATAGACATGTAACCACCGTCTCCCAAGATAATTTTCTTGCGAACTCCATGAGCAGAAGTCGCTTATTATCGACCTTGATTCAAAAATTTATAGAGGCCAATATCGCCACAGACCAAGCAGTTGAAGATGCTGATACTCTCATTGTGACAACTGCCAACTGCCTGGCATCACACCACGAAAGTGTAGCAGTCGTTGGAGAAGATGTTGACCTCCTAGTGATAATGGTTGAAATTAGTACAGATCCCAACGTGTTCTTTCTGAAGTCAGGGAAAGGGAAAGCATCGACAATCTTGATACCATCCACCAACTTCCATTGACAAGCATGTTGTTAAACATATTCTGTTTTTACACGCAGTCAGTGGTTGTGACTCAATATTAGCACTGTACAAGCAGGGCAAAGTGGAATGCCTCAAAGTGCTGACAAAAAATCCTGAGCTCAAATTTCATATCACGAGATTCAGGGACCACAACGCTAATCAAGAGGCATTATTTGAAGCAGGGGAAAAGTTTCTGGTGGCTCTATATGGTGGTGATCACCATGATACCACCTTGGACAAGCTGAGGTACTTATTGTCTGCATACAAAAAAAATTCCAACCTCGCTTCAATTCCTCCAAATGCTGTTGCTGCCAGACAGCACTTTCTACGTGTGTTTTACCAGATGTGGCTGGGGAATGATCAGTTTGATGCTAAGCAGTCGGAATGGAAGAAACGGCCTGATCCCAGTCAAAACACTTCTGCCACCAGTACCTGATAAAGTGTTGACGAAAATTGCTTGCCATTGCAAAAAGAATTACATGGGAAACTGTAGCTGCAGGCGAGCAAGATGATTCTGCACAAACATTTGCGCTGAGTGTAAGGGCAAATGTGCCAACACAGACAGTCGACGATGAAGACTCCGACTCTTGTGAAACAGCACCAGTGAAGCCAGTACAGTGCAGCACCAGTATCGTTCAGAAACCTATTTCCGGAATTTTTTCTTGTCAAAACTTGTATTTCACTAGACTATATGCTTAGTCTGTGAAATTCAGTAGTACAATAAAACAAAAAAATTAAAAACAATATACATTTATTCTGACATAATATTATATACTTTGTACAACATAAATTATTTTTTCTACTACCGTGCGTAAAGTACTCACTTTACGCACTATTCAGAAGACGTAAAATTCCACTTCACGCACTAGTGTGTAAAGTAATTCAACTTACACACTAGTGCGTAAAGTAATGTCAATGACAGATGTTGACACTGTCAACTTAGTATTATTTTTCTGGTAAATTACTTCACGCACTAGTGCGTAAAGTGAAAATACTTCACGCACTAGTTTGTAAAGTATTTGTCTAAATCTATTTTCTTACACATATTTGATTGGTAGTAAAAAAATTTTTGTATGCAATACGTGCGTAAAGCACCTTTTTTCACTCATGTGATTGTCAAATTTCAGATTCGTGAAAAAAGGTTCACTTTACACACTTATTGTTGCATAAATAACTTTTGTATTTTGTAAAATGAAAATACAAATTAATAATCAATATATTGACACGAAAACAGAATCTAAAAATATACATAATACAAAATACATAATTAGTAAAAGTGTTTATGTACAGATAATAAATGTTTCAAAAACCGAAAATAATTGCTCAGTTCTATTTTGTATTAGGTCGATGTTATATTTAAATAATCAGTCCTAAATATTTTATTTATTAAGTCTTTTATAATTGATCTTTGTAAGACAGTTTTAAAATATTGTTTCACATTGGTGCTTTGTCAACAAATTGTTAATTTAATTTGGAATTGTATAATAATAATTATAGTATAAAAATACATTGAAGATAATAATATCCTGAAACTAAATACACGGTAAAAAAAATTGCATTTATTAGTTTTTAAATTTTAATTTCTTTCCATAGTTTTTATGTATTTACTTTACTTTATTCATATACCTATTTAAAAATATCTTACTGAACACACAATACTTATTTATAATACATATAAAGTGAAATAATAATATATACAAAAATGATATGATTTTTTTCCGCACAAATAAAAAGAAATACAAAATATAGACATTTTAAATTATATACTTGGTACATGGTCCAGGGGCTCTGTATACAAAATATCAGCACCCCATACAATAATTAAAATATCATAACAAAAACAATTTGCAATATAATGGAAAAAACATTTATATAAAAAATGTTATTTTTTCATTTGACACAATAAATAATTAATTTCGAATATTGTTCGTATTGGCACACACATCATTCACACGCACAATAAATAAATAAATCGTTGTTCAATATCAGAACGCTACTGAATTTTTATCACACTTTTTCTCAGGGTCCCTATACTTTCAGTGGGGAACAAGTCAAGAGTATTTTTTTGGTTATACCTGTTCTTTCGAGAATAATGAAACGGAAGTTTGAAGTTTATTAATGTTTTATAATTTACTTATCATTAAAATTGTCACCACTAATTTGTATTTTATCGAGGGAAAGTTTTAGATCCGCTTGTGCAATTTGTACAAACGCAATTAGTGGTTGCATAATTGTGCAGGTTGGGTTCATACAAACTGCACAGAGCCTCTAGCTTTACGTTCGAGTTTTGAAAGAGAAGGAGGTGATGTTAGGATGTATTCAAGACAATTTGTGAGTACAATATTTGAAAGCTCTGCCTTCCAATTGATAACTTAACATGAAGGTGCAAAAGTGAGGGAAGAAAGTCTCGTCTTGAAACCTGTGAAGACTGGACACAAGAACAGACGATTTCGCCTTTGTCTCACGATTCTGTAATGCTCAATTCTCTTCAATATCAATTCAATTTAATGATAAGAAGTGATCAGTTGAGATTGAATTTCAGCTAAAATAAACTGCTGGACGAATGAAACGGAACAAGTTAATTTTTAGTTCAACTTTGGATTCCATTATTACGCGAACCAAAGAAAAAATCAATGAGTGATTTGCGTAATTTAAAAGATAATTTTCCAAACCGCTCATTGATATCTTCCTAAGTTCGCGTAATATTGGAATTTAAAGCTAACCTAAACATTCGGTTGTTCCGTTTCATTTGTCCAGCAGTTTAGTTCAAATAAAACAATCACCAGTAAATTCTTCCAAACATCAAAAACGTATAAAATTGGTACATAAATTCTCTAAACGATATTCCATTAAACTTCCAGACAACGATTTCATTATTCCAACAAAAAACTCGTCAAGACCCGCTCACGTCCCGTTAGTAATCGAATGTTCCTTTTTGATATCCTCGATAGTCGCTATCGACATTTTCTTTTCGCCGTCCAACGGGAATTTGAAACTGAGCTCGCCATCGCAAAACAACGGACTTTGATTGTTATCGAAAATATGTTCGCCCTCGTAAGCCATCTTTTCCTCGTGGGTGTAGTATCTTGCCGCGTGCCTTCTCGAGTAACACAGCGCTCCTATTATAGCTAGGATCGTTAAAAATAGTAGGCACACCGACATGCTGGCAGCTATAATGCCGATTTTACCGTCGCTGGATATAAGGAAAAAGTCAGCGTCGCCTGTACTGTAGCTGGCAGCCGTGCACCAGGTTAGCTCAGCTTTTTGTAGCATTCCCAAAGTTTTACCTCTCACAGTATAAGGAGTTTGACATATTATATCACTAAAAGTGCCACTCCTATTGGCCCTTTCCAATAAAGGAACTATGTAGCAAAGGTCACAAGACCAAGGGTTATTGTTAAGGCCTAAGCTTTTCAGTTTGTCAAGTCTTTGCAAGTTAAATTCGTCAATACCGCGTATTCTATTAGCTGAAATATCTAAGCGATGTAAGCTAGCTAGAGGCAGAAACTCGGTATTAATTATTGATATATGATTGTTGCTCAAATCTAAACTCTCTAGCCTATTAGGAAACATTTTGATGTTATCAACCTCCATAATACCACAGCTGCTTAGTTTAAGCTCCTTTAAATTATCCAAAAAAGCTATTTCCTTCAACGTATGCATTTTCAGTTGGTTGCCACTCAAATCCAGCACCTCCAAAGTGCCACTGATAACCTCAAATGCACCTTCATGTATCTTTTCCAGCTTATTATAACTCAAATCAAGCTCAGTTATGTTGTAAAGCTCCACAAAAGCATTAGAGGTTATTTTTGTGATCTCATTTCTGCCCAGGCTCAGTCTTTTCAATGCAGGTTGGTTGCAGAAAGTATTATCGTGCAAAACCGCTATACGATTTCCATCCAATTTGAGGTTTTTAAGGTTGGTCAGGTTCCTTAGATCATCGGCATGGATGGTTCTGATTTCGTTGTCGCCGATGTCGAGGAATTGCAAATGGGGCAGCAGGTGGTAGAGGTCTTTGCTGAATTTTTTCAGAGCGCAACCTCGGCATTCCAAATGGCGGAGTTCCTAGAAAAGAAAAATAATAATTGACTTAATATATGAAGTTTTAGAAAAATTGAATTTTTTAACCTAGATTAATCGTCTAATATAGGGCTTTAATATTAATTACCGAGCTAAAGTTTCAGGTAATATGAACTGTCAGAATCGTTTTCCGTGATAAGTTAATTCAATTAAGGCGATAGGTAAAACTTGGAATCGCTAGGGAATCCGACATTAGAGAGATTAATTTTGGTAATTCGGTTTGGGCAACATTAATAATTCTTTTGATATGTTTTAGGGACAGGATGTGAAGCCTCTGTTAGTTAACTATTGGCTAAATAATTTCAGTAGTAAACTTTCCTCACATCTACTTTTGTTAAAAATACTACATGTTTGTAAGAATCAAGTGCCAGAGGTATAATTCATTGAAATAATACACGCATTTACAACTTAATAGAAAAAGTTGTTAGGGGATTTTTTGGAAAATACAAGTGTTTAGCAAAAGCTCCAACACACTGCTAATTACTCATACTATGAGTTATATTGCTCTGACACGGTCGATTTACGCAATACTTGACGGTTTTGCTTTTTAAGACAATGGACAAAACCGAATTCTCATTCATTGGCTACTATCGCTAATTGCTGACCAGTTTCGGGCTTGTTATGCCCTCGGCAGTGCAATATACAGGTTTGCACGAGATTTACACGCTAAGCATGATATAGATCTTTAATAGTGTGTGGCTCCCTCTCGTAGAAGTCAAATAAAGCAAAAACCGAAAAACAGCCTATTATGCCCGTATTACATCTGTGTATTTTTCCGTGTATTTATTCATGTAGTTCGGGGTGACAACTGACAACCGAGAAACTTCAAACGCAACATAAATAAGCATTAAGCATAGTACTCATAACGAAATTCGCATTTTTTTGACATTGCGTCGACAATTTGATGTTTTATGTGTGAATCAAACGTCAAATTGTCAAAGCAATGTCAAAAAAATGCGAATTTCGCAGTTATGAGTACTAGGCTTAAGGGCGGGTATTATAAAACTGCTTTGACAGTTAACTTGAAGTTAACTTTTTGAATTACATGTAATTCCAGAAGTTAACTTTAAGTTAACTCTCAAAGTAGTTTTATAATACCCGCCCTTAGTCAATTAGTTGTATTCCTTTCACATCTAGGAGCCAGGAGGAGCTCCGGAACAGCTCCGGGGCTTCACGCGCTTATTCCTTTCGAAAAGTGTTTGTTGCACCACGCATTTGTTCCCTGCAAATCGGGGGCTACTAAACACCGGAGCGAGTAGCTCGAGTGTTTCAAACTCTTGAAAGGAATACAACTATTATGAGAAACAAAATGATGTTGGCACCCTGAACTACATGAATAAATACACGCAAAAATACACAGATGTAATATGCGCTATTGCGTGGTGTGAGAGTGTAAAATAATAGTATATTGTTGTATTAGGAGTAGAAGCTTTACTTTTTTGTGCTGAAGCAGTGGGTTTGCGAGCCGAACGTAGTGAGGCTTGCAATACTGCTGAAGCACAAAAAAGTGCTTCTACTCCGTATGCAACACGCTATTTTTTCTCCAAACGAATGGGGTAAGCTCGGGGGGTAACTGAATGGTTAAGCGGCAGTAAAAGTACGAGCGGCACTAAAAGTACTTCTAATGCCGCTCCAGCGGCACTAAAAGTACTTTTGTTGCCGCTGGGGTTGCCAAGCAGCATAGAAATTAAATTTCTACCACCTCGACAGGTGTTAACCCGCTGGATTTGCCTAGCAGCATAGAAATCAAATTTCTGACATCTTGACAGGGGTTAACAAAGTGACGTTTTTCTGACGTTTGGAGAAAAAATTAATTATGGTTGAACCAAATCCAAGCGGCAGTAAATGACATAACTCGATTCTTGGACATAACTGGTCATTTTAATTATAACCTATCAAATGTCCTCCGTGCATGCGCAGTTCAGGTAGGGCGTTTCAGCCAATAGGAAGGCTGGTGTTTGTTTACAATTTAGGTTATTTTATATAATTTATTGCCGCTTGGATTTGGAAATGGTGTAGGTACCTACTTGCCTATTAGTACCTACTAAAATGATGAAATTTCAATTTTTTTTATGTTGAGATTTTGTGTCTAAATGATCATTGGGGATCCCCCAAACTTCATACACTAATGGCCGTTTTCACAAACTAGTTTAGGGAAGCCTCAATAATAATAGATAAGTATTCCTTAAAATGACAGTTTTCCATGGAGAAATGTCAGTTTAGGAAACACTAACCGTTGAGGCATCTCTAAAATAGTTAGTGGAAACGGCCATAAATTATTCTAAGATATGATGCCGAAATCTATGAAAAAAAGCACTCAGAAAATTGAAAAATTGATAAATTCACCCCATGCTTCTTAACGCGATTTTATATCTGGAACTATAAGTCCAAATGAGCTGAAATTTTGAGAGATTGTTATTATCCACTGGGATAAGAATCGCTGGAAATTTCAGCTCCCTATCTTTAATAGAAAAAAAGTAATAAGTCCTCAAAGTTTTTAAAATCCAAATCATGAGATAGCTACCTACTCTAGTACTGAAATGATGAAACTTCAAATTTTTTATGTTGTGATTTTGTATTCAAATGATCATTGGGGACCCCTTAAACTTCATTCACTTAATTATTCTGAGATTTGGAACCGAAATCTATGAAAAAAGGCACTCAGAAAATTGTGAAAATGATAAATCTACCCCAAATTGCATAACGCTATTTTATTTCTGGAATAACAATCCAAATGAGCTAAAATTTTCAGGGATTGTAGCCCTTCACTGGGATAAGAATCGCTGAAATTTTCAGCTTTTCATCCATAATAGAAAAAAAGTTATGGGTCTTCAAAGTTTTCAAAAATCCAAATCCTAAGGGAGCTAACTTAGTACTAAAATGAGGAAATTTCAAATTTTTTTATGTTGAAATTTTGCATTTATATGATCAGTTGGGACTCCTTTAACTCTATACACTAAATTATTCTGAGATTTGAAGCCGAAATCTATGAAAAAAAAGGCACTCAGAAAATGGAAAAATTGATAAATTTAAGTTCCCCAAATGGCTTAACGCGATTTTATTTCTGGAAATAGAGGTCCAGATGAGCTGAAATTCTCAGGCATTGTAGTCCTTTACTAGAATAAGAATCGCTGAAAATTCCACCTTTCTACCTATAATAGAAACAAGGTTGAGACCCTTCAAAATTTCCCAAAATCTAAATCACATTGTAGCTACCTTAATACTAAAATGATTAAATTAAAAAAAAAAAAAAAAAAACATGTTGAGATTTTGTGTTTAGATGATCATTGGGGACCCCCCAAACTCCTACACTAAATTATTTTGAGATTTGAAGCTGAAATCTATGAAAAAAGGCACTCAGAAAATTGAAAAATGGATAAATTTACCCCAAATTGCTTAACGCGATTTTATTTCTGGAACTATAAGTCTAAATGAGCTGAAATTTTTAGGGATTGCATTCCTCTACTGGGATAAGAATCGCTGCAAATTTCAGCTTCCCATCTATGATAGAAAAAAAGTTATGGGACTTCAAAGTTTTTTAAAATCCAAATCATAATGGAGCTACCTTAATTGGTATAAAAAATAAAATTAAAATTATAACATTAATAATAACAATAATTTGTTTGCACACTCGGAACAGTCATGGTAATGGTTAAGTGGTGACCTATAAGTTGAGACAGGAGCGCTCATATTGATAGCACAGGAGTAGGCAGTGTGTACAAACTACATCAAAGCAAAAATTCTCAAACCCGACAATCAACCAAATTGTAGACTTTGTCAGAAGAATTATGAGACCATTTAATTAGCCAAATGTCCCATCCTAGCGAAGAAAGAATATTTAACCAGGCACAATACCGTCGCTGCCCAACTCCATTAGAATATATGCAGAGTCTATAATATAAAAATCACAGACAAATGGTACCAACATGAGCCTGACACTGTTGTTAATAATGAACAGAAAACACTAATATGGGAGACGCAGATCCATACAGACAGACCCATCGAAGCGAACAAACCAGATATAGTACCATGTTACAAATAAATAAGTTATTTGAACTTTAAGATAAGAGAACCTAGGGTCGTGGAATTCAAAAAAATTAAGATAACGTGTAGCCCCTCCAAAATAAGATAAAAATAATAAGAAATTAAATCTTTAGATTCTCCCCCAAATAGACAAAATTTTCCTTTTAAATTAAGGTAGCTACTATAGGTACTACAAGAGAAGAAACTTGAGGTGAAATCAATCAAATCCAGAATATGTCAAAATTCTTAAGATGTTTTAATTGAAACTTTCTAAATGAATTTTTGACCAGTCTGGATTTTTATTTTTAAGAATTACACCCTTGTTCAACAATCTTCTCATCGAGAAGATAATAATTGATGGAGTCGAGCAGAAAATGGCTATACAGGCCTCAGCCTGGATTCAATAAAGAGTGGATAGGGATGGACACACAAATTTGATTTTCACCGATTCTATTTAGAGCAAATTGTGCAATATTTCCACACTAACAATTGATTCTGAAAACCAAAGCAGCAGTACCTATTTATTAGCCCAAAAATCTGAATTGACTTATGAGTACCTACCTCAGGAAAACGTGGAACCACCGGCAATCACACAAAATGGCGGCCCACAATTAGATAAAAAACTGAAGTATAATACCCCTCGTTTTTATTCTCATCGGTGACTTCACCGATGAGTAAGCTATCTTTGTTCAGTGAATGGAAAATGACAATGACGGCCATAGAATGGTGGATCCATCGATAAAATTTGATGAAAAGGAAAACGCATCTATATTTATATTTCAAGAATAGATAAGATATAAGATTGATCAGGTGAAAACTCAACAATGATATGATAATATGCACTGATGGTGAAATTTATTTAAAAATTTATAAGGGAGAATCTAAAAATGTAAAGAAAAAATTATAAAAATAAAAATGACTCGCCTGCAAGACTACTGCCAGATGAAGAGAACGTTTTAGAA